CTCAGAAGTTTAGTTAACACTAGTCAGGCTATGTATAATGCAAATCAAATCTAAGAACTTAAGACAGAGTAGTTTAAAACAATTGCCTTAGTTTCTGAATTCACAACTTTCTTAATCAGGAAAGTTCTCTTACATAAATATTACAGAGCCACCACTTTAGCTAGAACCTTCCTAGAGAAATTCTCTTTTTCAAATAGAACAGCTTCATTTAATAGCTTTTAAACATGCCCCCAAATGGCAATTCTCTGTTGCCAGCTTACCTAGCATATTTGTTATGTTTATCAATGTTATGTCAAATACCTAAAAGAACAACTTAAAGAAGAAAAAGCTTATTTTGTCTAACATTTAAGAAGGTACAATCATCATGAAAGGGAGTCCCGGAGATGGAAGCATGAGATTCTAGTCATACGGAATTCCCAGTTAGAAAGCAGGAAATGATGAATTCTGGTACTCAACTTGTTAATCACCCTTTCTATTTCTCTGGGTATCCCATGTACATGCTGGTTCTACTCTCACCCTGAAAGAGCAAATCTTCCTTTCTGGGCTAAAGTGCTTTGCAAACACTTTCAAAGACTCACCAAGATCTCCTATAGGATTTCAAGTCAAGTTAAGTGACCACAAAGATTATCTGCACATCTGGCTTTTTTGTGGAATATTTAGCCTCCCCCATTTTAAGTCTTCAGTGTACTCGTTGAATCAACTTCTATCTTTTCTCATCAGAATGCTCTCCTTCCCCTCACCCCAACCTTATGCACAGACACTTAAATCTTCAGTTCTATTACTGACTCTTCTCATGTGAATTGTGAGGGAGCCTTTACTATGTGTCAAAATTCAATATCCTACCAACAATCTTGATACTAGTAGCCTATTAATTACTGTCCAAAATACTTGTTCTTCATATCAAATTCTAACTTTCTAATTTTTTAAAAATTTTATTGATTTTCATAATTGTGGTTTGTAAATAAAAGAGACATTTCTATTAACTACTCCTCAAAACAGAGTAAAAGGCTAACATAGCTACTCTATGCAATGTAAGCAGAGTGATCTCACCGTTTATGTAGGGCCTAATGATGACCTTTGCACCCTATGATTGTGAGGAAGCAAGGTGACCTGATTTCCTGCTTCCACAGTAAATGTTTGCAAGACTATCTCAAAACAAAGAGGCTTCTCACCCCTTTTTTCTTTCCAATTTTCTTTCCTGTATTCTCCCTTAGACCAGTATCTCCAAGGTGAATGACTCCATATTGGAAATACTTATATAGTGGTGGTCAGCTTTGGAGTATTAAATACATATCCACTTTAAACTTGATTCATTTTTATGCTATACATGTTTTTTTCCTACATACATACATGTGTATGATGTGCATGTGTACCTGCAGAAGCCAGCAGAAGGCTTTGAATCTCCTAGAATTAAAATTGTAGGTATTGTGGATGTTGGGAACTGAACCCCTGCCTTCTGCAAGAGCAACAAGTATTCTTTAACAGTGAGCCATCTCTTCAGCCCCAGTATATCTATTTTAAAAGATGAATTTCACATCTGGACAGTAGTTGGTAATGTCACTGCTTCCAAATAGTCAAAACTATTTATCCTAGGAAATGAGATTTTTCTAACAAGTATTCAGTGTGTGGAAGAATTCTCTTGACATTTCTGGAAAATTGGCCAGTGACTGTTTTATTAGGTGTCATTGCTATGTCACCTACCATTTTAGAAGTTGTTATTATACAAAAGCCTCCTAACCATAGGTGCCTCCCTCTCAAGTAAATTAATATGTTGGTTTTTGTTGTTTGTTTTTTAAATCAAGTACAGTCTTTGAAGTCTATCCTTTTTGATATTATTTACAAATTCAAGAAGATGTTTCTTTTCTAAATCACACTCAGAAATGTTCTCTGAGCCAGATATGGTAGCATACAACTTTAATTCTAACATTCAGAAGGCAGAGGCAGGCAGATCTCTGTTGGTTTGACACCAGCCTAGTCTGCATGTGAGTTTCCAGCCATCTAGGGTGCATAATGTGACCCTGTCTCAAATAAAAGCAATAACAATTGAAAGAAAAAAACCAGAAAGATTCTCGGAACTGCTCATTGTATCCCTATTTTGAGTCTTCTCGACTGTAGGTTGCATTGCCCTTTATCAAGTTCTCAAAGGTAAAGCACTTTTGTGGCTTTGTAAACTTTCTCTTAATTGACCAATGAGTTTCTTAAGTCACATTAAACTGGGCATGTCCAAAGCTAAAGTTATCATCTTCCTCCAAAGTTTTTCCTCTTACACTTTACCTATTCTACTAAGGGCATCACTATCTATGCATAATTTGGTATGCATGTTTTTAATTAATGTAGAATGTCACTTTTTCAGTTGACACCTGTGTTAGGGTTTCTATTGCTCTGGTGAAACACCATAACAAAACAACTTGGGGAGAAAAGGGATTTATTTTACCTTATTCTTCCAGATAACAATCTATCACTGAGGGAATTGAGTACAAAAACTCAAACACGTTGGAATGTAGATGCAGGAGCTGATGAAGGGACTATGAAGGAATGCTACTTACTAGCTTGCTCCTCATGGACTCCTCAGACTGCTTTCTTATAGAACCCAGGACCACCAGCCCAGGGATGACTCCACCCACACTGGGCTGAGCCCTCCCATATCTATCACTAATTAAGAAAAGGCCCCACAGGCTTGCCTACAGCCTGAGCTTATGCACACATTTTCACATTTAAGGTTCTGTCCTCTCTTATGATTCTAGTTTGTGTCAAGTAAAAAAAATAATAACTAGCCAGGACAACACCCCAACTGGTAACTCAAACTGTGGCACATTGTTTGATTCTGTTGTCATGTGTATACACCAAACTACCACCCTTCCAGTTATCACCTGATTGTGCAAACCTAGCTGTAGGGTCCAGGAATATAGGAATAAGATAGGAATATAGAAATACTCTTAAGAAATGGAAACTGACAGCCTTCAGCTTGGCTGGCGAAAAGGGATTAACCTTTAACTGCCTGCAGTGTTTTATGATGAGCTGCTCCACAACCCAAATGTCAGTTTTCCTTTACTAAAGACTGCCCTTTGCAGCTCTGGGGCTAGCTATTCTTTGATAACCCCTACCACTCACTACCAAAACCAAAGTTAATTTTTAATGAGTTCTCTGTGACAGCCTGCCATGCCTTGTTTCCTATCCCCCATCCCCACCTCCGCCATGGGAACCCAGCTATGTCAGGAAAAATTAATTGCAGGTTTGGACAAACATCAATTAACTGAATTAAGAAGGGCTACAGGGATATAAAAATATTATTTAGCTAAAATTCCCAAAACCATGTAAATGGAAAATTGTAAAAACCTAGAACAATTTGTCTCTAAGAGTTTAACTTCAAAATTGTACAAATTCCTTTGTCTATGTCTAATGCTTTACTATAAAAAAGAGGCTCATAGCCCACCCCCTCCAACTGTGACAGCCTCAGAATAGTGAAAACTGGCTGTGGTCTCAGCTGGCTGAGAAGTTTTTGTGCCCTGCAGTGACATTTCCATTCCTTGCGGGGTAGTGGTGGTGGGGGGCATGGAATAAAATCTGCTTCTGGTTTAATGGACTTTGCTGGTTTGTCACCCATTATTGTGTGACCGCAGACCCAACATAGCTTCTATGGGTTTCCATGACAAAAGTGCTCCACGAAGTAGATTTTCTGGATCTCTCTCTTCCTCACTACACTGTAGCTTCTAATGTGACTGACAAGTGTGTGTATCACCATTGAAGCTTCAGTCATGTTTGCAGCATAGTTGAATGTCGTTCCTTTCTCTTTTTAAGATTTTAAAAGAAGCTTATGTTCCTTTAATATGTACATTACAGCAAACAAAAGCCAAGAGGACAAGAACTAAGGTCATCTAATTGCAAGTATGAAGGAAAATCCCCCAAAAGAAGCTATGTCTGGATGTGAACACAAAACGCCTGGAAGAAAATTTTGTATCCACAGAGACTGGTGGACCAATTGGAATTTCTGCTCTGTGGAAAGATTGGAGTTTTGTAGGTTCAGAGACTAATTAGTTTATGTTGGGCTAATTTTAGCCTCCTGCAACAGCCATTCCTTGCTCCACTCTGTATCTGAACCCAGTGATAATAAATAAAGACCCCCGAGAAGCTATTAACTCTGGAGAACATGAGATTTCACCAATCGGAGAGCTGAGATTGTCATCAGATAACAGTTTAGCACTATAGCAAAGCGTTGCCCATCTCAGTGTATCTGCTGAACTCACCAATGCATTTTATACTTGCCTGGATTTATGGCTTTCTTGGTTTTCTAAAACTCGAAAAACTTGATGAAACTGCTTCCATGTTGGAACTTGGGATTTGGGTAACTGAAGTCTGTGTTCCTGGGCCCTAGAAATGGCTCCAGGATAAACCTCTCTTTACCTGTAAGATGAGAGCTGTGTTTTTATGACACAAGCAGCTCAGCTTGATGTGTCCTTATAGACCCCACTCATTGTGTTTTGTCCCAGCCCCCACCTCAGCAGGCATGCCCTGCTAGCCCAAGGGCAGCTCCTGCCTGGAAACTGAGTGGTCTGACTGAGGATCCACACCTCTCCTCCTCCAGATCCACTCTCAGTCTCATCCCCAGCCCTGTAGCAGAAAACCTGCTGCCTTCTCCTTTCCCTCTGTCCTCATCCCCAACAGATCACAAAGATCTTCTCCCCAAAACTCCCTTTCCAAGACTCATCCTCTTATCCCAGCCCCAACACCAGCAGGCATTCCCTGTGAACACTCCAGCCTAGTAAGCCAGGGAAACAGGAAAGCCCACTGAAAACCTCCCCCATGCCCTCTTCCCACCCCAATCCAATCCCTCAGTCTCATCCCTATCTCTGTAGCACAGCCCAGCTGCAGCCTCCCTTGCAAGTCCCACCTCCCAGGCTACATTTCCCATGGATCCCGCAGAGCAGCCCCTCCCAACTTCCCTTGAGCCACTCCTGGCTTTACTCCAGCCCCTCCCCCAGCTGGTGATCCTGCTAACCCACAGACCTCACAGGCCAGAGACCTTCTCTTCTCCCTCTGCTCTCCCAGCTCCAATCTCCAGTCTCATCCTCAGCTCTGCAGCAGGAACAACTGCGCAGCCTTCCCTGCACTCCGGTTCCCATCTCCTGTGGACCCCACAGATCTTCCCTTTCTAACCCTTCGGCCTTAAACTTGTAGCCTTGTCCCAGCTCATTCTTTGCTTATGACTGAAACACACTCGCTTCCTACCAGGAGCGATTCCAAGTATTGTGGAAAGATGATTTCCAAGGTTGACTCTTTGTCAAACTGAGTTTCAGACGAGTAAGTCTGATTAGGGAAGGAAGCATGCCCACACATGAATAGGGGTTATTGCTCAATCTGCATTCACGCCCTGGTGGAAACGAACTTTCAGTTTCAGTAGCTCCGGATGGTAGGAGAGAAACACCATGGCTGGTGAGTTTTCCCTGCTGTTAAAGGGGCTAATTTGGTGAATAAGTCGTTTGGAAGGGGGCTTTTCTGGGAGCTATCAGCAGCTTCTGCAGATATTTACTTGAGCTGAATCTGGGGAAAGGGAAGACTGTGTGGAAGAAATTTGCACAGCAGATTCTAAAAGCCACAGAAAGCAAAGGCCAAGGCCTGAGAGGAAATGGTGCTTTACTTGCATCCTGCGCCATTTTGCAATCTTAAGTATTATGTGTCCCTAGTCTGACAGCTTGACTCTCAGATGACTCACAGAGATGTAGGCTGCGAAGGAGAATGGTTTATCGTTATTTCTCTGTTTTGTTCATCTGATTTGAGAACATGTGAAGCCAGGATGAGCGTCTATACTTCTTGAGCTCTAACAGAAAGACAGTAACTTGGTACTCCTGCCTCCCCCATATGCTCCTGTGTAATGTTGAGGGGAAACAGAGAAGAGAGATAGCAAAAAGAAAGGGATAAGGGGTGTGTGTGAAAGAGACATTTTACTGATTCAGTCTGAAAGAGGCTATGTCCTCTTTACAACATGAAAGGGGCACGTGGTTGTTTTCTTGACTTGAAAAATCTTTTTGCCTTAAACAGACAACATCCTAAGGGCAAAGAGGAAGCAGTTCATCCGTTCAGTGAATGCAGAGACAATAAATGGCTTGCTGGATGAACTTTTGGAGAAGAAAGTGCTGAACCAGGGAGAGATGGAGAGAATAAAAGCTGTAAATGCCACTGTTATGGACAAGGCACGGGACCTGTGTGATTCTGTCACTAAAAAGGGGCCTCTGGCATGCCAAATCTTTATCACTTACATTTGTAATGAAGACATCTACCTGGCAGGAATTCTGGAGCTTGAATTGGGTAAGAGCCTGCATGTCAGACTAAATTGAGAGTGCATTTTTATAACCAATATCTGATTCACATGTTTCTTATGCGGTTTGAAGATAACTCCCTCACCTCAGACTCCAAAGTTCATTTTTGTTTCACTGGCCCTGTCATATCTCCTGTCTTTATTACTCCTGTTCCTTCTGCCTGGTCTCATGTAGCTCATATTGGCCCCCAACTGACTGTATAAGCAAGATTACCTTTGAATGGTAAATTAATTGCTTTTGCCTCTCTTCAGGTTCACCAGCTGAAAATTCCATCAGGACAGATAATTTCCAAGGAGGACTTCCTTCTTCCTCAGGTAGACCCTAATCTTTTTGGCTATTATCTTCATGGAGTAAACCTAAGTTGAGGGGATATGAGTAACTCCCAAGCATTGATTCTGTCATTTTCCTCCTTCTATTCTCTACATGTCTTGCTCAAGCAAAAGCAGTTCTCGTGGCCTCACCACCCATATTTATAGCAAAACTTTCGGAGTGTGTCCCTCAACTCTTAACTCCGGAGTTGGGTACCAAACCTTACATTCATGTGCCTACTGCACATATTCCCATCTCCTCTGGATATTAGTTTCTAACTCCGCTGCAGGCAAGCTTCTCAGTCTTCCCTATCCTACTTCCCTTCAGTGTTCTCTGCCTTTGCTAAAGCTGTCATCATCAGCCATTGTTCAAATGAGAAACTCAAGATGCATTCTTAGCTCTTCTTTTCCTCTCCTACTTACCAACTTTCAGTGTGTGGCTAAGTTTTAATGGGTTCCCTCTCAAGTCCTCCTGCACTTTATCACACATCTGTTATTTATAGCATACAGTAATTGCCAATCATTACTCTCTCTATGGTTATCTATGTCAGCTATAATTTTCTTGGTCATTAGAAAGGTAGTTATCACATGCCAATTGTACTCTAGACATTGTTCTATAAAATCTTCAAGAATAATAAGCATGAAAAACGATTGTTCTGATTGAATTGAACTTGAACAAAAAAATATTACATGAATATTTATTTAATAGTATTTTTATCACTGAATTAAAGCTACAAATATTTTAAGCATAGTAATGATGACGCAAACCTTTATTAAGATAACATGGAGCTCAGTTAGAATGTCAATATTCATAGTGTTTCTTACATGATAGAAGGTTGTTCCTTATTCGAGAAGATTATAAAAGTCATTCTCAATGAGCAAGCAGCCTCTTTGTTAGTATTTCTGGCACCACCTGGCCTATCCCCAGGGCCCCCAGCTGCAGCCACTACATATACCTCTGGCATGCATGTGTTGTCAGTATTCAGGCAGATGCCTAACCATCCCAGGATGCTATGGCCATACCTTTAAAAGCAAGCGCTGCCCATTCCCCCTCCCTTTTTCTGCACCACTTCTCTCTCAAAGGCAGGTCCCCACGAATCTCCTCTCTCCCTAACCCTTTCAATAAACCTCCAATGTGGGTTTGTTGCATGGTGCGATCCGTTCTCATCACCACCACTATGACACTCTTCCAGGCCAGGGATCCTCCACACTGTCTCACATACCTACAACAGACCTAACTAACAGAACTGTGTTTCCAGCCGTGTTGTGAGAGACATTGGAAAGGATGTGAGAAGATTGTGGGAGACTTTGTAAACTCAGCTTAGATGTATCACACACCAAACACATGTGTGTCTTCTATTGCTTACAACTGATCATTCAGACAATACCTTCTGAAATGCTGGTAACAAGGATATCTTAGTGGCACAGGGTGGGTGCATCTTATAGACTGATTCTGAGAGTGTACAATCAACCTTCATTGGAAAAAAAAACAAAAATAATCTTAATTTACACAATATTAGAGCTACCACGGGAAACATTTATGTCCTGAATGACAAAAACCACATTAATATTTCAGTGGTCTTCATTGAAATGGCACCGTAACCTTATGGAAGCTGATGATCCACACATACCAGATCCATTGCTAATAATGTTAGTTTTGAATAAGCTCATGTCTTTCTTAAGAAATGGATAGTGTTGCATGTTGTAAGAGAGGTTTTTCACGGTAGTTCTGAAATAATTTCATGCACAAAACAATGCTTCCTCTCAAGTCAGAAAGGCAAGTGTTTAAAAAACACCCAATTATTCTACTGGATCTATTAATGATAGTTAATCCACATGTTTTATTCTATATTTCATGTAGTGTGACATTCTTATATACTTGAATACTTTATTCAATTACTTAAAAGTACCTCTAATATGAATAAATATTTGTTTAATTTGTTGTTGCTTTATACTTATTTGTGCAGAAGCAAGACATCTTTTTCCAAGTAATGAGTATTTTCCATATATTTCCAGTATATTCTTTCTAAGTAATTTATGTTCTTTTCTACAGTCAATACATTTTGATGACTTGGCTCAACTTGCTAAACATACAATTTATCTAACACCTTTTAAAATTAATCAAAATATCCTCATTTTAATTGCTTCATTTCTGTTCTCTAAGTACCTAAATAAATTATTTCTATTTTGAAAATATATCAAGTGTACATGAAATCATTTAGAAGTGTATCGCCTGATTGAAGATATTGGAGTTGGGATCCGATAGAAGCTCCAGGAGCTCATAGAAACTACTGTGAAACTCTCCCTCATAAGTTAGTGCAAACAATAATGAATTCACAACATTTGCACATTAATTTTAGCACTTACATGCTACTTCACGTTCATTCTAGTAAATATATTCAATGTTGTTCCTTCTTTGGTTAATGTACACATACAAGAGAAAGTGATCCTGAGGGAGAGGATAAAGAATCATTTCTAAAAAGTACTTAATGTGATGGCTACTATTGTGCACATGTTAAAAGAAAATAGGTAAGCATGTGTTTTTTAAATTTTTCAATGGAATTAAATAAGATATATTTTCTACCTCCCCTGCATGAAATTTCATCTTAGGCTTCAAATAATTTCTAAAATCAATTAAAAATCTTAATACTCTGTGCTTTGTTCTTATCTAAAATATTTGTTAAAATGCTAATCACAAGATAGATCCTAGATCACACCACTACTGGGCATCTCTGGCTTTCAATCTGCCCATTAATGATGGTGTGTATCTCATTCTACAGTGTGGTAATGAACCCAGGGTTGTCCTCACCTATCTTCACACATAGATAAGACTGTAAGAGACTTGATGTGAGAGCGCCAGGCTTCAATACATCCATGGTATTTTTGTCTTTTACAGAAACAAAGCAAGGACAGAACAAAGAAGGCAGCAAACTTCCAGGACCAAGTGGGACCCTCAAGTTATGCCCCTTAGATCAAGCCCAGAAGATTCGGGAAGAAAACCCTTCAGAGGTGCTGTGCACAGAATTTGGGATGGAGTGAGCTGAGGAATACTGAGGCCATCCTGAAGGACAGTGCTTCTTTGTCACAGCCATGTTCATTGAAATGTCCCAGAGACTCCATGAGCCACTTTGCCTTACATAAAAGTTCCTTACCCCTAGAATCTCAGGCTTAATTTGGAGTCTTACAAATTTTGTCAATTCCTTGGTATACAATAATAGCAACAGCAAAATCAGTGGATGACACTAGATTCTTACGTGAGTCAAATATTATTCCACACACTTTATATCAACCTTCAAAATGACCCACATTAGAGATTCAGAAACTGAATCAGGTACAGGTCAATATTATGTCTAGAGTCAGTAAAAAAATTGGAGGAATCAGTTTTACAATTTAGAGATCCCTAACTTTGTTTTTCAAAATTTTACTTTCAAAATTAAGGGTAAATGCCCAGAGACCACGTGGAATTTTGGAAATTCCATTAGCACTTTGACTTAAGAATCAATTCCCTTCCTGTTCTTAACCTAATCTTCACAAGGTTGTTTTCTTGAAGGAATTAAGAGGAGGGAACTAGGAACTACCATAAGCACATAATTAAACAAGGCTTTTCATCCAATCTGCCCTTCATACAGATTTATCCAATAATGAATACATCCACTCGTACACGTCTTGCCCTCATTATCTGCAACACAGAGTTTGAATACCTTCCTAGGAGGGATGGAGCTGATGTGGACCTCAGAGAAATGAGGTTGCTGCTGCAGGATCTGGGATATACTGTGAAAGAGAAAGAAAATCTCACAGCTCAGGTAGTATTGCTCATAACATGAAAACAATGTCCATATCTTTCAAACCCCTAGATAATGCTGGAAAACATGTAGCAGAAGTTTGTAATGATGATATCCTTTGGTGAGAAGCCACTGAGTATTATACATGCCTGTCAAGTGCTAAATGATAAATGCTTTAACCAAAGTCTCCTGAAACATCTAATTGGAAAATATTTCTACCAGTTGAATGATCTCAGGATGACTTCCTATAATCTTTATAGCCTTGATTTTCATAAAATTGAAAATTAGAAATTTTCTTTTCCATGTCCCTCATTTTCATTGAATTATTCAAGGACTCCCTTTACTGTTTCTAGAGACATCTCACAGTGTAATGATAGTTCATCTAAAATCACTAATCTGGTCTCTTACAGGAGATGACTGAAGCGGTAAAGGAATTTGCTGACTGCCCGGAGCACAAGACTTCTGACAGTACTTTCCTTGTATTCATGTCTCATGGTATCCAGGAAGGAATATGTGGAAAGACATACTCTGATAAAGTACCAGATGTTTTAAAAGTTGACACTATCTTTCGAATGATGAACACTTTGAAGTGTCCAAGCTTGAAAGACAAGCCCAAAGTTATCATCATTCAGGCCTGCCGTGGGGGTGAGTTCTGATAGTTTAAATCAACAGGACATTCACAGTCTGACCTTATCATTTATATGTAGACAGTACTTTCCAGTGTTTGGGGTTGATATGTAAATATCAAACAGCTGTTTTACTACACAGTTAATAATGCATTCTGTAGATTGTATGTCAAGTTGGTAGATATTTGCTTCATTTTCCACTAGAGAATATCACTATCAACTGTCAGTGAATACATATTGGTCTCTGGATGTTATTGGAGTCCATTCAAAGATTAATAGAGAAAAGAATCATTGAAACATTCCTATAAAACACACACACACACACACACACACACAGATACATACATATATATTTACATTCACATGTGTGTATGTATTCACATTTATATATATATTTGACTAAAAGCTGACTAATATGTTACAAATAGAGTTTAATAAACACTTCAAGCAAACAATAATTCCCTTGGAAATTGTTGGTAACATAAAATGAATTTTGTCTTTCTAGAGAACCGAGGAGTGGTGTTGGTAAAAGATTCAGTAGAAGACACTGGAAAAAAATTCCTAGTGGATGCGGATTTGGAAGATGATGGAATTAAGAAAGCCCATATAGAGAAGGATTTTATTGCTTTCTGCTCTTCAACACCAGGTAAAGAATTTTTTTTATGCAATCTCCAGACATAGTCTACTTCTACTACTACTTATTACATAAGATATTTAATGACTTCATATTCAATCCTTCCTTACCCATAGAGACAAAATATACATATTTTTTTCTGAATTAGTAAACTCTTTCATGATTCATAATGTTTTTCCTAGAAATATGAAGGAAAACAAAGAAATGAACAGATGAATATGCACCCTAAAGTTCATTAGAATCTGAAAGGTGCATACCATTGGGTTTAGTCAGGACACCAGTGTGCACAGGTATGAAGTATTTCCAAAATCCTGATGATTAAGACATGGAGACAGGAAAATTAATCACTGGACCTCAGGTCTTCCGAGCCCAAGCTGGACAAGTGCCTGCAATCCCAATGTTGTTGTGAGTAGTTGAGAGGGTGGACACGGGACAACCTCCTGAAAACATGACCAGCTAACCTATGCCACATATTGGAGGCTAAGTGGGTTTAATGTGAGATGGTTTTATACATGAAAAGAGATATTAATAAATAATTCAGTTATATGCTAAACAGTAATAGTCAGACTACATCCTAATACTTCCAGTTATTACATCTTATGTTAAGGCTAGTTGTTCTATTTTACCTGAGATTTCTTGGAATTTCTCACCAACATTTGCAAATATACTTCTTATTGTGGCAAGGATTAAACAAGACTATATGTGTAAAATATTGAACAATTCCTAAAATCTCAAACATTAAGTTATTCTTATTATCAAGGTTTTAATTTGTAATCTAACTCAAGTTACCTACTATATTAAGAATTAAATAAAACTCATTTGAGTCTTTCATTTCATGAATTTTCCATTTTGGGGGGCCTATATTATTTTACACAAATGCAACCTTAAGACCCTACCTCTGATCAAATAGCTTACAGATTATGTTATTGACAATGGTTACAATCTCTAGACATAGTCTACTTCTACACTGGTTAGTTCATGCCTTAATCTATATCTCACTCCATTATTTTCCAATGATAAAATTTCATGGCTATTGATTCATTCTGGGCTCATAGGGCCTTGCTGAATGATTGGTTACTGATAAATTCTGGCAGATGGAGAATCATCTTTGGAAATATACCAAGTAATAAGTCTATGAGACTCCATTGCATAGTTTCATACCATTGGTCACACAGACAGCCCTGATTACACTCAATGAATCATTAAAATGACAGAATGACATGCACACAGGAAAGAGACATATGAGTGGAGAGGTGTTGGCTTATGAGTGGGAGGGAGTTAATGAGAGGGTAGGATATAAACATAATCAGATGCATTCTATATATGGAAGAAATTGTCAAAATAAAAAAATATATTGAATTTAGAAATACCATCACAAAATATCCACATTTCCAACTTAAGAATGTAGCCAACTTTATTATTAGATTTAACTGTTTCTTTATATCATTTCTTCTCATCTTGCACACACATTCCTCTCTGGTTGTAGTCTTCTTCATCTATCCATTCTTGCCATCCATGCTGCTGGTTTCTATATCTCTTTCTTTTGCTATCTTCACTATTCTTTGTAAATGGTTCAGACTCAGTTGGGCGGTGGTGGCACACTCCTTTAATCCCAGCACTTGGGAGGCAGCTCCATGAAGATCTTTGTGAGTTCGAGGCCAGCCTGGTCTATAGAGTGAGATCCAGTAAAGGTGCAAAGCTACACAGAGAAACTCTGTCTCAAAAAAAAAAAAAAAAGTCAACAACTTAGCTGGGTGATGGTGGCACACGCCTTTAATCCCAGCACTCAGGAGGCAGAGGCAGGCGGATCTCTGTGAGTTTGAGGCCAGCCTGGTCTCCAAAGCAAGTTCCAGGAAAGGCGCAAAGACACACAGAGAAGCCCTGTCTCAGAAAAAAAAAAATGATTCAGACTCCACCTATCTTCCATACCCACTACCAAACCCAGTTGTAATTTGCCTGTGTAAACCTCAACCATATAGTAGGACTTTTTGGAAAAGAATCTGGACTTAGTAGGACTTTTATGGAAAGAATTTGGCCTTTTATTCTCTTCACTGTCAAAGTATTTGCAGAGATACCTATTTCTACTCTACATTTCCTTTACCTAGCTCAGATTTTTGTGGTGTATTACCTGTTCTTCAAATGTCTCTTTTTGGTAGAAATATTTACTCCCAACTTACAATTAAAAATATTGCATTTCAAAATGTGCAACAGACTTAAGTCAGAGCCATTACATGGCATCCTGGATAAAAACACTCAGATACTTATTCTCCCTTACCCTAGGGCCTGCCTCTCTACTAGATTTTCAGCTCTTTGACATCAAGAACTACACCATCTGAAAATCTGCATTGTATTTAGCAACTGCCTTGAGGAAGAGGGAAGGGGAATTCATTGAATTTTATATATCCATTGAAAAATGGCAGGCAGTTTATGAGATACAATATAGATTCTATAATGTGTCCAGTTAGAGTGGAAAGGTTAGAGTGGCCTATATCCAAAGTAAGGCCTGTCATAAGATTTGGAATATATGTTATTCACAGATAATGTCTCCTGGAGGCATCCTGTCAAAGGCTCTCTTTTCATTGTGGAACTCATCAAACAAATGAAAGAATATGCCTGGTCTTGTGACCTGGAGGACATTTTCAGAAAGGTAGGATTCTGAAGCTTTATTGATTCTACTTCCCTGGTCCTTGGCTATTTAGGATGGTTCTAATGGGAAAGCTCTGGACATGTTTGTCTTGTAATAATGTAGTCCTTTCCAAACAGCTTTGTATTATTATTATTTCTTTTTGGTTAGTCAACAATACCTCCATGATGCCAATGTTTTATGATCAAAAGCTTTAAGAAATAATCATTTACATTAACTGCTATCCTGCCCCTATTAGAAAATGGAACAGAATCTAATATCCCTGTGTCCATCATATTTGTAATTCTAGCAAGAGAACTTAATAGTCTGGGATGTAGTCTCATAGCCTTAGTTCTTACAAATGCCTTGAGTTATTGTTTATTGTCATGCTAGTCAATGCAGTTTTTTCCATCTCAAGTCAAGATTCTACTCTCTGAAAATAATGGCTGTAAGCCTCCTTTCTCTTTTAGGTTCGATTTTCATTTGAACAACCAGAATATAGTTTACAGATGCCCACCACTGAAAGGGTGACTTTGACAAAACGTTTCTACCTGTTCCCAGGACATTAAAATAAGTATGTTGTACCATTGTCTATGTACGTGTGTGTGTGTGTGTGTGTGTGTGTGTGTGTGTGTGTGTATACAGCAGGGAAATGTTGGATAAAGACCACTGAAGATTAATAAAACTGATCCTGGTCCAGGTTGCTAGGTCTGACATAGTTATTGGAGAGAGTAGGGAAACACTGAAGGGATGCCAGGTAGCATGAATCTTAAAAGTTCTTATTAATAAAGTCAAACCTGAGGCCAGTTATTGGGGTGAACACTGGAAGATCAGAGAGACAGAACAAGCCACAGCTATCTCACTGGATCCTCAGCTGGTCTTGTCTCCTCAGACTGGAGGCCTCTGAGTCCTCATCTGGAATGGGTCTCAGCTGAATTACTGCTCAAAAGCCTGAATGCTTAACCAGCCGATTGCTTAACCAGCCATATGCTTAACCAGCCAAATGCTTCTAGTTTCTGGTCCTCACACTTTATATACCTTTCTGCTTTCTATCATCACTCCCTAGGATTAAAAGCTTGCTTCCTGGGATTAAGGGCGTGAGTCACCATGCCTGGCTGTTTCCAATGTGGCCTTGAACTCACAGAGATCCCAGATGGATTTCTGCCTCTGTAATGCTAGGATTAAAGGAGTGTGCTATCACTGCCTAACTAGTGGCTTTTCTGTTCTCTGACTCCAGATAAGTTTATTAAGGTACACAATATTTTGGGGGACACAATACCACCACATTGCCATGTTTTCAGTTCTCTACAAAGAACATTCTTTCTTAGCATTCTCAGATTTGGATGGGTCTTTCTCAGGGTTAGTTGTTGTGAACCAAAATTTTGTGAGGCCTATGTTCTATGTGTCTAGATTTCATCTCAATAGAATAAAACTTAAACATCCCTTGGTTCTTCTCTGTTATGAGTGTATATACCAGAATTACAGGGTGATATGATAATCTGCATATATATCAACAGAATTCTTATGTTTGTGTAATTTCTCTTTCCCTTAGGAAGCCAAGAATTCCATCATTCTGTACCTGTTTTGGGAATCATGTCAATGAAAAGCAACATTTCACTAAATGATGCAATAAATCTCAAACAAAACTGAAAGGCTACCCTGTTTGTTGTTGCTGTTGCTATTGGATTTTCCTTTGCTTGATTTGATGCTCAGAGCACAAGTGTGTCTTTTTTATTGAATTAATTCTTTGATAATTTTATACATGTATAAAGTGCATTTTGATTACTATAACTTCATACCTTCTTTAGTATTCTTTTATCACGATAATTACTCTCCTCTCTACCATTTCCTTTCACAGACCCATGTGTCTTTTTTTTTTTGAGACCTACCAAGTTTAACCAGGATCATCAGGGCAACCATGGGAAGGGACTGTCCACTGGAGCCTTGTAGATACCTAAGTGGAAATACAACTGCAGACAGTTAACTGGCCTTCTCTGTAGTGAATTACTGTTCTGTCTATGACCTTGTAACACCACCCCTAGATATGTAGTAGTAACTGACCTACCTACCTATGACCTTGAAGTACCTGCCCCTGGGGCATGGCTTGGGACTACCCTTAAGACTTGAGACACTTGTAGGCTGGTTTCTTTTCTTACTCATGGGCTGGATGTTGCAGACAGTCTCAGTGGCAGAACAGCATTAGACTGTATCTCAGCTTTCCAGGGTAAATCACCTGTGCTGTAAAATTCCTTTACCCTTTAAGCAGACTCCATGGATTTCTCATTATCTGGCCCCCAATGTGGGGCACAAACCCACAACCCTGGGATTAAGAGTCCCATGATCTATCAGTTGAAACTAATTTAGCAAATTATCAGCCTTAGTAAATTGCATTGTTATGGATTATTATATATTGATACAATTTAAACTATTTTTCTACTCCTATGTAAGATAATTTGTATATTGATACAAATTCAAAACTATAATTGTCATATTGCCCACATGTTCCTACTTGTATTTGAAATATTTTGTATATTAACACAAATGGAAAATTATATTTACCATATTGTATATATGTTCTACTTTTGTTTAGAATATTTTATATATTGATACATATTAAGGATATTGTTATATTGCACTATATATTTCTACCTCCGTTTAAGATATGTTGTGTGTTGTCACAATTTTGAGGTCATTGTTCTTACACTATACATCTGTTTATAGACTGTTTACCTTGATATGTGAAGTCTTAGTCCTTAGGTTATTTAGGTAGATAAGACTTACAGATTAATAGTCATCTATAGTTGTGTTAGTTAGGTTTTCCAGATTTACAGAAACTTATGTCAGATGGATAGGAATCTTTAAATGCTTCATAGACCTAGGGAACATGGCATTTAAAATGTTTTGATAACTTAGAATTCTGTTAACGTTGAGACACAATTGCTCCTGGAAGGACCAATCTTCTCACTTGAGAGAATGTTGGACTTCTAAGACACTCCATTTGAAAGTTTGTCTTCTTCTTGGCACAAAATGCCCTGCTCAAAGAACTTCCCTTGCCTTGACTGCTGACTGTATGAGCGCTGTCCTTTCTGGACAAGCAGGACACAAGGAAAAGTGACTACTGAAACTTGCCAAAACAGGTTAAGATGGTCTCTCAAAATTTTTGCTTCTGAAAATGGTCTGACAGATATTCTAGTCCTTTAGCCAAAATGGATGCCCCAATTGTGCTGAGAATCTTTAGGTGACTGTCCAGGCTGCCAGCTGTCTCTGTCTATTCTCATTTTTTTTTTTTTTTTAGAATTTGCTTGTTTGCACTTCCTGTTTTCTCAGGTAATATTATTTTCCTTCTCAAGTCTTTGATTGGATTGAAGACTAGATAGTTACAGTTATAATCCTCTCATATATCTTAGCTAAGAATATTTCAGATAATAAAGTTAGATTCTTTAGGATAGAACAGCTATTGGGGCAATCTCTGTAACATGCCATTTACCTATATTCTGGACATTTCTGGATTTTAGTATATGTCTCTTGTTTGATGTTGTTCTTGCTGGTTGTATTTCTATTTTTGTTTATGTTATTACCTTTACTTTCTCCTGGACAATACTTGATAATTGTTCCTATTGTATATAGTTTTCTACTAGGTTAGAATTTTCTTATTTAAACAAAGGGAGACATGTAATGGATAGCTGTTCTGTCTATGACCTTGTAACACTGCCTCTAGAGATGTAGCAGGTAACTATCCTACCTACCTATGATGTTGAAGTACCTGCCTGTAGATGTAACCAACCGTCTTATTAAAATAAGAAACACAGAACCAATGTAAGTGAGAAAGCCGAGAGGTCAGAGCTCAGAGCTAAAATCTTACCTCCTGCAGTGCTCCTAGCTTCCCTGAAAAAGAGCTACTTTCTGTGTATCTGTCTTTAAATAGTCTTTTTGTTCTGCCTTCTCATTGGTTGTAAACCCAAACACATGACTGCCTCGTCACTGTCTGTAAGTACCGCCCTCCAGGTCTTAAAGGCACATGTCGCCAATGCTGGCTGTATCCCTGAACACACAGAGATCTACATAGCTCTTCTACCAAGTACTGGAATTAAAGGCATGCACCACCACCACCACCACCATGCTTTTGCTATGGCTCTAATAGCTCTGCCCCCTGGGCAACTTTATTTATTAACATACAATGAAAATCACATTTCAGTACAAATAAAATACCACCATATTTCCCCTTTTTTATTTTAATAAAAAGAAAAAAAAGTTATAACTAACAAAAGAAAAACTATATACAAAAGTACAATAACTATATACAATATATACAAGTAACAAATACCTAAACGATGTCTAGTCCATTTGTGTTTGACAAATCAGAGAAAATAATT